CTACACTCACAGTTTAAGGGGTATGAGTTTTAAACAGCTGTTCTTAAATGTTCAGAAATATTTACTCATCATAATGCAACGATAACAAGAATTTGTCCACATCCATGCCAGCTGGAAATGAACTCGGTAGCTTCTTTTTCTGTCAAAAAGAAAGAAAGAAAAACTCGAAGTCAGAAAGCTTTTTAATAGACACCTAAAACATTATATTCAGTTTTTCCACATGCTGCTGATATTGTCAAAACTTTGTAGTCCACTCAAATTTAGTTCTGCAGAGACGTAGAGACAAGTATTGTGAGCCCAATGTTAATTAACTGTACTTCAGTGTTATTTCTACATTAGTGCAGAATGGAAGATATTATACAACCAAAGCATCTGAATGCCTGAATGACACAAGACAGAACCTGTTTTCTATATGATCATAACTGCCAAATAACAAACCTTAGAAGGCCTTACACAGATTGAAGAGTAACAGGTACTTAGTAAGTTCCAAATGCTTACTATAAACCAGGTACTTTATACATATTTAGTCCTCGCAACCAGCAGGTAGGATGTATGGAGACATCAAACAATGAGGCTGAGACTCAGAAAACCTACAGACCTAACCATGGTCACAGAGCCAGCCAACAGGCAGCAGAGGTAGGAATCAAACCTGATACCTTACTTCTTCTGTAACATTTTAAATACTTTCTTTCTACTCAATCTACTTACTAAATAGCTCAACAAATATGAAATAAACGGGTTTAAATCATTAATGCTATCCTTGTACTTCTTTCCTACAATCAACCATGGTTTTTAAAACACAGAAACTTTTTTTCCACTGTTCCAATATGTTAATATCCTAAAAGGCCTCTGGAAGAGACAAGAGACATGAAAAAAGGAAACCCAACATCTAAGAGGAGCAATAGTTTTTACTTGCTAATTCCACACATTCGTGGTTCCCCAAACTTTCATGCCTTATGGCAGTCTCAAAATAAAACCTGGATCCTATCATAATAGGAAAAAACCCCAGCTTTTCCTGAGGAAGATGTTCATAAATAAATGCCTTAGCAATTGTTCTGGAAAATGTTTTGTTTCACTCTGACAACTTCTGAGAAAGAGTGCTATTTCATCAATCAAAATACAAAGCTATCTGGATCATAATATTTGGTCAAGTACCCTAGTGGCAAAAAATACTTAACTCTCTTAGTATTGAAAGAAGAAAAAGGTCTAATTTTGAAATGAAAACTTTCAAACTTGCCTTAATTTTCTTCTTTTTCATTGGTATTGATGAATTTGCAAGATTCTTACTAGAAGTACGGGAATTACGCTCACGTTCATCTAATTCTTCAATCTTCCGTTTTTTGGTGCTGTTCCTTGAAGATGCTCTAAATTGTTGTGTGTTATCTTTTAGAGGAGTTGAAGCAGTCCTAGAGATGGCCGCTCTGGAGAGGATCATTAACGTGTGGGCAGCCATGTTTACACTGTTTTCACTGCCCGTTTCACTGGCAGGGCTGCAGGCAGGCAAGTCTGGAGTAATAGGAGGGATCATTACTTTGGGTGTGCTGCTATCATCAGCAAAACGTCTACTAGAGGGAGCCTTGATACCCTCTGTATGTTCTTCCTTATGTTTGTCCCCAGCTCCTGAGCCAGGTGTCCGGGGTACAGATAAGTCATTACTATCAGCAAGCCTAGTTCCTGGGCTCTGCCGCTGAACATCCTGTAGCATTTCTGTGGTCATCAAAGAACTGGTAGATTTATTTTGTTCGTGTTTTAAATCCTTCACAGCTGTACCTATTGAAACGGTATTTTTACCATTTGAAGATGTGCTCTGTTTTTTGGTCAATTCTTGCAGTGAAGCTATAGTTTTCTCATTCCGTAAACCCCCATTTTGCTGCCCGATAGATAGTTTAGAAGTTTCCAGATTTTTTTGCCTTTCCACATCACTGTGTAATTCATTCTCTTTATTAGCTGTTGCTTTGTGGAAAGATTCAAGAACAGTTTCCGTGGTCGAAACTTTCTTTTCCGGCTGAGTCTCTCTTACAGTGGTATGTCGGCTAATGGTAGTTTCTGATTTAGATAAAATCTTAGGCATGGGAGGTTTCTCTCTCTCTTTTTTTATGGCATTATTAGGAGGTTTTATTAACGTGGAGGACACAACAGGTGAGTCAAGATTAGGTAAAGAAATCTCATTCTTTTCTTTGTTTTGGGACATTATTTTATGGTTTGGCCCCTGTGTATTTGCCACAGGAGAAACAGTGCTATCAAAACAGAGTACACGTCTATGACTTTCAAATGGTTTGCTAGCTGGAACGACACTCTCTAATGTGATTTCTTCTGATTTTTTCCCCAGATCTGTGTCCATATTCTTGTCAGAAACTTCAGTTCTACACACACAGAAAAAAGAGAGAAAATATTTCTAGTAACAGAAATCATTTGTTCTTTGACCTGAGCATTCAAATAATATTTAATAGAAGCGATTTTATGCTCACCTTTGCGCATGATACCCAACTGAATGACTTGACGAATCCACCAAATTATTTACCTGATTTCCTGGAATTACAAGTGAATTTATTAGAAAAGAAAAATATCCCCAAAGAAAAGAAAATATCCTTTTTAAAAAAGATTATCACTATTTTTTAAAAATTTGCTCTAGAGGGACCAGCAGTTGGTGTAATGACTATGTCGTTGGACTCCCATGTAGTCAACTGTGGTTCAAGTCCCAGGCCCGGTGGCTTAAACTCATGCTGGGCCCGTGTGCCCAAGATCCCGAGAGAATGGAGGAGAAGGGATTGCGGTGTAGCTCCTCCCTGGGAGGTGATTTCTCGCTTTCTGTCTCTCTTTCTGGCGAGTGCACACAACCTATAGCAAAAACTTCTCAAAAAAAAAAAAAAAACTACAAAAAAAGTATTTTCATATACTGACCTTTACAAAGTAGCTTTGTTAACATATATGACAGTTATTGATCCACTGTACAGAACAAATGGAGGTATGGAGCAAGTGACTTGCTTCCACTTTAGGCAAACACATCTATAAATTATAATGCTCAATGTAACATTTAACATAGTACTTAGCTCCAGCTACTTAAAGAAAACTATGTATTATGCCTACTTTAACATTTTGCCATGTACTTGTCATCTTTGTAAGCTATGCCACTCAGAACACATGCTTTGTAGTTAAAGGTTCCAGAGACAATCCTTAAGAGTTTTAAGTAAAGAAGGTACATAAATAAATTTTATGTTTTAGGAAGATCAATTTGGCAATAATATGAAAGACAGAAAGAAAACTGGAAGCAGGAATTTTATTTACACAGTTTTAACTATTCCACAAGAGAGGTGAGAGTTTGAGAGATACTAATGGGCATTCGCATGAACATGAAGGCTAAAGAGGAAATTAATGGAGACATTAATGAAGGTGGGGCTGGGGTAAGGAGACACGGTAGAGGCGGCCATCAAGGAAAGGTGAGAGTTAGGTATGTAGAATTTGAAGGTCTTGAGTTATATAAAATTAAGAAGAAAGGACTATAGGTATTGAGTTATATAAAATGAGGAAGAAAGGAACTATAATGTTTTAACAATGATTCCAGAAGTCATCAACATTATCAACAGTCACAGAAGAGTAAAGTAATGTAGAATCAAAACAGGTGGTAACCAAAACATGCTAGCTAACTAGGCGAGTGGGAAAGGAGGACTGTGGCACAGTAAAACCTTGTCAAAATACCTTTGGCTTTCTCTCTGCAATTTAAAAAAAAAAAAAAAAAAAAAGAGGGAAAGAAGAGAGGGGGGATGGAGAGAGAAGAAAAAAATGATTTTAGAGGTAGAACACGTATGTCACAAATGGGAGTGTTAATCAGAGAAAGGTTTACTAGAGACCACCAGTTGGAGTAACGGCTATGTTGCTGGACTTCCATGTAGTTGAATGCGGTTCAAGTCCTGAACCCAGTGGCTTAAACTCACACCGGGCACATGTTCGTGTCTGCTCAAGATCCAGAGAAGAGAATGGAGGAGAAGGGATTGCAGCCTGGCCATCCCCCCAGGGGCTGATTTCTCACTTTGTTTCTGTCTGTCTTTCTGATGAGCACACGCACTCAACAGCAAAAAACCTCTCCAAAAGAAAAAAAAAAAAGTTTACTACTGATGAGCTGGAAGATAACATCACTTACTAAGAGTTAGGAGGTGGAGATGTGATAGATCTGAGAAGAGCTGTGCAAGTTTGGAATAGTGTGAAAGGGGACTGGAAGAGAAAATGGGCAGAAATTTATAATGACTGCCAAATGGCATATGGGTGAAACTAAATTTTTAAAAAAGAATTATTGTATTTAACTTTATTTACTTAT